AAATTATGACTAACATACCAATTTTAAATGTCAATATATATATATTTTTTATGTACTTAAAAGTTGTAGTTAAAATAAATGTGCATCTTAATTATGTTTTATATTTTCCATTAGCCAACTCCAACTGATACACACATTAATTAATTTGTCACTTCTTGACTTTTAGATTAAATGCTCGCTATATAAGCTTTCTCATCGTGTAGTCTTACCTTTTATTACGTAGAACATCTTTTTTAATTGATATAATATTAATAAAGTAATTACAGACAATTCAACCAAGACAAATTTTGTTTGTATTGGAAAAATAATTACTAATTATCATAAATTAAATAATTCTTACATTAAATGTGTTATATTTTCTATCATTATCAATAATTTTATAATAAATGGTTGTACACAGCATTATCTATGATTATATATTTTTTTTTATTGATTTCCAGCCATACATTTACCACCAGTGAAAGTTGATTACTTTCATCATCCTGCATCCATAGATATTAGATACATATCACCACCAGTGAAAGAAACTAAAAATAGTTTGAATTTCCTGGACCTGGTCAAATGCCAAGATATAGGTACCATTTTTTATTTTCTTTGCTTATTACTAACGATCCAATTGTAGGCTTGCAGCTCGCTTTTAGATATATGTTGGGGTTGTTTACGTGGGTCCCATCCGTGTATAATAGAGAAAACTACAAATTTGCCATTATAATGTATACTTATCCATTTATCTTTGAATAAATTACAAATTTGTCATTACAAATATGATAAAATAAGGGTTTTTTAGGTATATCATATTTTTACAGATTCATTGGCCCTTTTATAATAGTATAGATAGAATAGATGAAACTGCCATTATAAATATGGCATAATAAGGTTATTTTAGGCAATTAATAAGGTTATTTTAGGCAATTAATATTTTTACAGATTCATTGGCACTTTTATAATAGTATAGATATAGATATTCCTGCTTCTTGTTTAAATATTGGCAGGTTATTTCTATTGTTGTACCTTTGAGAATAATTAACAGAATGAGTCAATTATTACAGTGAGTAGCTAAAGCTGATTACATCCATTTCGTCAACCCATGACCTTAAAAGACTAGAAAAAATAAATAAAAATCACACACATCGTTTGGTAACCGCTGCTTTCAAACCATGCTTCATAGTGAGCAAGGCAGAAGCACTTAGGCTAATGGTCTGCCCTTCCACAACCCCAACACGATAATTATGCATAATGGTAGCTACAACTCCTTTCATCCGAGTAAAACCCATTTCCTTCCCCGGACATGCCCACGGGCCCGACCCGAAGGCAAGAAACATATTAGAGGAAACTCGTTTGAGCTCTCCTCTCTCGTCGATCCACCTCTCTGGACGAAACTCGGCCCAATCCTCTCCCCATATTTCACTCATTCTCCCCATTGCGTACGTGCACAGGATCACTTTCGTCCTCTGCCCGACTCTGTGGCCGCTAGGGAGCACGTCCTCTTGGGTCGGGTCCCGCATGATGACCGGAGCCGTTGGAAAAAGCCTCAGGCACTCAGTCAACGCGGCATGGAGGTAGACGAGTTTGACTAATTCTTCCGCTTTGTGGAAAATATAAATTCGGTCTTGGTCAGACTTGTCTGCAGAAGCGACTTTCCTTATTTCGTCCAAAACACTTCTTTCGACTAAAGGGTTTTCCGAAATGAGGTAGAAAAACCAGGTCAAGAGAGCAGCCGACGTGTCCCTCCCGGCAAAGAAAAGAGTCATGATGTTAAAACCCAAATATGCCTTCTCCTCTGTGGATTTCTTAATGTTATTATTATTATAGGCTATATAAAACTTCAACACGTCGAAATCTCCTGTTTCTTGATTATTATTATTCTTCTTCCTCATAAGTTGGTACTTGTTGGACACGTAACCATCAAGTATTTGATTCAAAACGCGGCACGCTTTTGTGAATTTCTTCTCTTTCCCGATCCCGAGCCACCGCTGGATCTTCCAAACCCTCTCTGGCAGAATATGCCTGCAAAAGACGGCCTCCGAAATATCGTCCATGGCGTCGAGAAGCGGGGACTCAGGGAACCCAACCCGAAGGGAGGCCAAGTCGAACCCGGTGGCCAGCAAACAAGTGGCGTCCAGCATGTACCTATTGAACACGGCCTGCAAGTCGACAATTTGATTGTTCCGTGCCGCGTGATTGAGGACCGGGAGGAGGCCTTCCTCGATCGTTTGTAGGATTATTCTCGGCGTAGAGTCGCGGAACTGTTGGTCTTTGTAGAAAGCGTGAGTGAATCTTTTTTCTTCCCTCCACTCGTTGAGGTCCTTGATGAAAGCGGCCTGACCTAGAAAATCAAAGGCCTTGCGGAACTCGGAGCCTCTCTGGTAGAATGAATAGTTGGAGTTGATGACGTGGTTGACGTTGGCCGGGTCGCTTGTCACGAGGACGTCCGTGTGGGTGAACCAAGACGTTTGGAAAAAGACGGTTCCCTTGTTTTTGGTTAGGATTTCTGTCATCTTCGTGTAGAGTTGGTGGCTTTTGAGGAAGATTGTGGGTAGGATTTGGATGAGGGGACGGTTTTTGGGAGAGAGGAGGAAAAGGAGGATGGGGAAGAAAATTGTGAATAATGCTGCTAAAACTATACTTTCTGGATGAAAGCACCTCATATTTTCTATATGTGATATGTATGTTTTGTTAGTTCAAGTGATTTTTGGTGTTGATATTTTGGAGGTGTTCAGAGCATAAAGTGAGCTTCAATATTTATGCGCTTTTTTTTTTTTTTCTTCCTTTGTACTAGGAAGTATCCCACATTTATACGCACTAGTAAAGTGCACGTGCGATGCACGTGGTGTCGAATGATTTTTGCGGAGTAAGTTTGTAAAATAAATTAATCTATTTATTAAACATATCATTGCATAAATGAAGTAAAATATAGAAAAATGAACTCATATGTGATTTTTTTTTATTTAAAATTAACATAATGATGTCCTCATATAAAAATAGTGAAATAACGTTTCATAAACTCACAACAAAAATATATATAAAAAATAAATTCCTAATAAAAAAACACAAAGATTTTCTTTCATTTTAGTTTTAACGTTCTCATAAGAACATTCATAGTCGTTGGAGTCCAATACATCAATACTATTGCAAAATTCCTCTTAATTAATTTGGCAAAACGCCAATTTTATTCAAACACTTAAGAAACATTCTGACCCAACATATAGTCAAACTTCATGATCGTATGATGTTTATAAGAAGGTGCTTCTACTAACAAAGGATAAATATCTCTATGAAATAACTAACGGTGTCACTAAAATTGCTGATATTTTTTATCACTGTATAAACTACTACATTCCTCTATCTCTAGATATATTGGTGTCTACCCCATTGATGCATCGCCCCACGAGGTGGGAATGAATTTTATCTCCAAATAAAAGTTGACTTTCCAAAATTTTGGTTACATGTACTTCTCCCGAGGTGCTAAGTTATTTTTTGAAATCATCATACATTACCTGAAAGTACCTCTAAAGTAATTGCACATATGTTCAAGCACAATACACCAATGAGATTATAAATATTTCTATAAAAAGTAACAACTTAATTCTAACATTCAAAATTGTTTTGATACTCCTACATTTCATTTTCAGTGTTATTTATCTAGAATATAGACGAACAATATAATATATTTTTTGCAATGATAAAACAAAACAATGAGAAAATATTGAGAAGTATATAATTTGTTAAAATATTGAGAAAATATTTATAAGAACCAATTTCTTACAGAGTCCATATATTTAAACGCTAGCAACAAAAAAATAGTAATTTTAAAAGACTTTTTGTTTGTAAATATTGGTATTCATACTTTTCTAAGAAAATTAGCATGTTTTCTTTTTCTCATTGCATTACTATTATATTATTTGTTTCTTATTTTATAGACAAATAATAGTTTATTTGCTAAGTAACTAAAACACATTTATACGTATTATGTTATTTTATGTATGTGTTTTATATAATGATGGTATCAAATTATCTTATTTATTAGGCTACAATTAATATAATCACATAAGATTAAATGTAATTTAATATATTTGATAAAATTGTACTTTTTATACGAATTATTAAATTAAAAAGTTTTAGAATTTTTTCTAATGTTTGATAAAATATTAATTAACTAAGTCATTTTTATAATCACTGAATACATATATGGTACCACCATTATAGGTTCCTTTTGCAGCAGTAATTGACTTGACATAGCTAATGTTATTCCATTTTCTTTCTCTGGTCTAGCCTTTCCTTTTATCTATGACTTCACATTGCTTCGCTTCGTTTGTACCCTAAGGTGCATTTGCCATAGTTTCAGCATTACGACAAACTCGTGTCAAACATATATCGGATTTGGGCGCTCTAGCCAAAATGTGGGAACAGTTAGAAGTTTACACCCATTTTTTTACTTTTTTATTTTTTAATAAGAATTTTTTCAAATTTATGTATGAAAAACAAACCACAAGTTTATCTTATGTTATTTTATACTTAATAAAATTGATTTAACTTGAATATAAATTTTATTATATTATATACTTTAAGACTAATTTATTATTTTAAATTAGTACTGATATATATATACATATATATTATTTTATATCAATCTAAATAATTATATTATTTTTATTTTATTGCAATATATGGGTCAACTCAAACATCATTGAAAATAAATGATGTGATATATTACATATAAAAAGGTAACAAATAAAAAATATG